AATTCCCACATACTGTGAAAGCTCTAGAATCATGCCATGAATTGAAAGAAAAAAAATTTATGCCCCAAGACCAATATTATTGTAAGTAATTTCAATCATTATGGAATATTTTTGTGGGAGTTAAGATCCCATCAAAGTTTTTTAAAACAACTTGAGGTTGATTAGTCATTAATTTGAAAAACATTTGTTTTAATAGCTCCACATGATGAAAGAGGCACTATGACCTGTCACAGATGCATCCCTTATGACTATAGATATCTTCAGTTTCTCTATCAATTTAAGTAATTTCGACACAACCTTTCTAAGTAAAAAACTTCTACAAATTAAGAAATTTATTTTCTGTCAATACACATGTACATGTGGAACTAAATCAGTGCAGATTTCTGTTGATCACACCCATATCAAGCTTTTGTTTACATCATAGGTCACCAAAAACACAAATAATATTAAGCACATTGACAATTCCTTAATTCCCATTGATACAAATTAGGTACATGTACATCATACATGCAATAAAAGCTACCTTTAGTGAAGACAATGATACACTTACAAAGCACATCAATCTCTGCCATCTCTGTTGCATTGCCACACTCATCACTGGCTTCACATTTGTATTCACCAGCTTCACTTCTGTTAATGTTTGTAACCTCCAACAGGTATCCAACACGACGATCACCATTAGGTTTCATCCAAGACACTATTGGTGGAGGCACTCCAGACACATTACACGTAAGAGTCACATTGACACCCTCAGTTACATTCTGATCTTGTGTTATTTGGATAATTGAAGAAGGAACTGTAAAAATTAATGGAGAGTAAAAATGACGAAGGGTTTAAATAGCAGCTGTTCACTGGCTTGTAGCCAGATGCCATTCTATTCTTAACATATCATTCTCTTCAACTTGAATGGCTTCTCTAAAAAAGATGAAATATGCATAAATTATGGAATGCAACTAAGCGAACATTTCCCATAAACCGTACCATCGTTCATGCTTTTAAGTGACAAAGTTTTTGCAATTGAGTGTACTTGAAAGAACACTCATGAAAGTTAAGAATTTGTTCTTGCTTAGCGCGGTATATCGAGTCATGGATGCACGCGGGAAGTTTGGAGAGCACGAAAAATGCGTAAGAGTAAAAAGGTACTCACGTCATCTTATTTACGCACGGGCATGCATAAATAAAGACTTTGTTCATAGCAGCTCAATAGGACTTACACAGGGAAAGCATGCACGCTATGTTATTGGTAGGTGATGTATTTATTTATTACAGATTTTCTCCACTATTTTCATGTTCAGTTAAAAAAATTGTTTTTTAAAAGCAAAATTTAGGCTATTTGGTTTACCATTTACAGTGATAGCACCACTAATGCTGTTTCCTGATCCAAGAGAGTTGTTCGCCACAGATTTATAGACAAAAACTCCTTCATTTTCCAAAGTCTTGCTCCACATTCCTGCAGCACTTGTGTTATAAATGGCAAGTTCGTTCTCAAACAGCTGGTATGATGTCACTGCTGGATATGCATCAGCCGAGCAGTTAAAGGTGATGACTTTTCCCTTACACGCTTTCTTATTCACTGCTGAACTATTTAACTGGACATTCCCTGGTTTGACTGAGGAAGAACGAAACAATAACTATTGATGAATATTCATGTGGCATGCAAGAAGCCCTCCCCTTGACCTGGTTGATGGAATGCCTACACTTCTGTGTCACTGACGTTTCCCTCAGCACTGTCCAAATCTTTTTAGAATAGTTATGTCATAGCCACAGGTACCTGTGGTAAATAAAACTTTGAGCCAGTTTAAGAGATGCCAAGCTCTCTTGCCATTATAAAGTCAAATAGTTTCTAAAGAAACTGTTTGGGGCTGCGTCGGTGGGGGTAACGAAATAACTTGAATATATCAACAAAGTTGAAAT